TGGCATAAAGCAGGCCCCCAGCGCCCGAGCTTGAACCGTGTGCCTCCAGAGGAAGTCAGTATGGACCTCACGATCACCCTGTGTGTGTGTGTGTGTGGGGGGGGGCTGGCTCTCCTTCTCCTGCCTGCTCTCCTAGGGCAGCCTGAGTGCTGGGCCCCATTCCTCCCTCCTGTCACTGGTGCTGGGGACAGGCTCTGTTCCAAGGTTCCAGACATGCTAAGTGAAAGCCTGGAAAGCATGTGGGGTGACCCAGTGTGTCCCATCGTCTAGCCGCACGCCACACACCCTCTCTGTGCAAACGTGGACGTTCACAAATAGATATGTACATGTGTGCATGGATTCGTATTTGCGCAGGTGTGTACTCACAGATAAACCATATCTGAGAGGATGGTGAGTGGTTACGAAACACAACTTCAGAAGTTATGTAGATAGGTGTTGAGTTTCTGCTTCACTAGTTAGTACTTAGGGGATTTTAAGAAATTTAATTACTGTAGTTCACAGCCGCACTATAGGAAATGCATGTAGAGCATTACACAATCCCAGGCACCCATCCATCCATCCGTCTGTCTGTCAATCATTTATCATCTATCCACAGAGGCACATACTTTAATTGGCAGAACATACTGTTATGGCTGACAGAATGAATGATTTTAAGACAAAAACAAACATGACAGAATTCCTTAGAATCCAAGGGAGTCCTTTAGGTCATCTTTATTAGCAATTGCATTTTCTCACTTCAATAAACAAGCTATTTATTTTATATGAAAAGCAATTTCCTGCCATATGCGAAGCTTTGCTTTTTAGTAATATGGAATTCCTCCACACTATACCTCCAGGATTTGTTCATTAAACTAAATTCTGATAATCTGATTCTTATAATTTCATGCATAAAATTTAAGGCCAACTGATTTGAAGATGGAACCTTGGAAACTGAGATAAATGCTGAGTGTGTGAAGGCAGGACTCCGAGATCCCCGGCTGGAGGCTGGGTGGGTTAGACAGCCTCCCCCTCTCCCAGCCACCACATCCACAGTCCTCTGAATGGGAACAGATTCCCTTCGTTTCTCATTGGCTTTGCTTAAGTAAGAAATCCTTGCTGCCCTTTCCTCTGCTTTGCCAATTTCATTATCCATCTCAAAATGCATATATTTTCATTTATGTTTTTTTTTTAATCTGGCATTCCATGAATAAAGCATTTGCTAATAGTTAAAAATAAAATTGGTTCCAAATCTATGCAATTACCTTGACTTTTGAGAAATGTCCTATGTGCGGCAAGTATTGATCCTAGTGAATAAACACTCACAGGACCCAAGGACTTAAAGAGTTGGTGTTTTCGATCCAAATATAAGTTATATTATACACAAACTTTGTTCTTCACAAAATACTGGATGACAGAAAACAATGCAATTTCAAAGAAAACTTATTTCATGTAAAACAAAATGAAATGAAACGATCCCTAAGAAACCAGCCTAAATTATGGTAAATAATTCACAAAAATTGAATATTAAAAATATATTCAGTGCTTACATTATTAAAAGTCAGCATTTGAGAAATCACCCAGTATTTCATGAAACATAGAAAGAGTTCTGGAGTAAGTAAAGATGCACAGTAACAAACGCAATCTTATTTAAAATGCTTGGCCAGGGGTTTTCACCATGCACTCACCAGTGTTTCCAACATTTTTGTTACTGAGTTACTAAACAACATTTTTGTTACTAAATTATTTTGTTACTAAAAAGTAGAAGCTTTAGGAAAATAAAGGCATTCCCTTCTAAAACCTGAGCCACACACAAGCAGCTGCAGAGTGGCCAGCTTTGGAGAGCACTTCTCCTTGTGTTGCCGGTTGGATGTGCTAACTCCTCGTCCCTAAGGTTTTCCATGTTTCCACAGTTTTCTTACCTCCCAGATGACATTTTTCTTAGAACACAGATAAGCTTAATGACCAAATCATTATATTTTAATTAACTAAGATCTTGAAAGAAGATAGGCCAAAAACTTAGGAATTAATGCTATTCTTGGACACGGTACTTCAAATTTGGGCACATATAGGAAATTTTATAGTCATTTGTCCTATTTTAAATTATATATAACCTTAATATTTTCTGTTTTTAAATTCATCAGCAATTTATGCAAATTATTTAGTTCACAATGGAGAATACTGTTGAAGGATGGAACTAGCAGATAAACTATTACAAGAGCACTCTATTAATTTAGTAAATTCATTCTGCATTTCCTAGTGAAAAATGTGCTGATTTCAACAACTATGAACTTACTTGCTAAGACCCTAAAGGGTTCATATGCAGAAAGTCAAATACTTTCAGTGAGCAATGTTAGGAGGAAATTCATAAGTGTTTCTATTTGATTTTCAGAGTTAAATTCAAAGGCTGAACACATTAATTGGAATATTTTAATTCATTGTTTTCACATTCATTATGTACCTTAATGTTTCTACATATGAATAATAATTTATGTAAATAACGTTTACCCAAAATTACTGCCAAAAGCATTGGAGTTCAGTGCCCACATTAGGATCACTGCCAAGGTCATCATGTTTCAATGGATCTTGGAAGTTTAGAAGATTTCCTCAGATGAAGCCAATAAATTAAATCTAAAAAAAATAAATAACAATCTGGTAATACTAAATAAGTCCTAATTTTAATGGGAAGAAAGCAGTCCGACTTTAAGAACTATAAAATTTTATTTTTAATAGTTGATTTAGTATTTTAATCTAAATTCAATTTCCTTTAGAGCTCTTGGATCATACATCAAAATTTTATTATATTATTTGGCTCAAAGAATTACTAGATGAGCAATCTCTTCAAATAAAAAGGGCTGGGGTGGAAGGAAATCTGAATCATCACAGTACAACTGTCACCAAACTGAGACCTGTCTCTGCACTGTTGGTGGCCCTGCTCCCTAGGTTCATCTACCAGGTGTCCTGCGTTCCAGCAGCGAGTCTGCAGGTTTGATGCACTGTCCTGGATTAAACCTCTGCTTTCCCCAGGCCCTGCCTTGGGGAGGCACGGCTGTTTCAGCTCCCTGCAGAACTGGGAAGATCCACACAACATGGGGGAGGGCACGGGGAGCCTCCCCCACCTGCAGAAGAGCCCTCCCTCCACAGGCTAGCATGAGGACGACGGGGGTCTTTGTTTTCTCCTGATAGAGCACTTCCATCTTCCCAGAAGAGCTTCAAGCTAACTGAGGAATATTTTAAATACAGATATTAAGTGATGGAGGAAATTTTGGCTTTGCTGACAAAGCACTTTTGTATTTAACTGTTCTTTTAAATTTTTTCTTTCAAAATAACGGCTGTACTTACTTGTAAATATCAGACAATATAATCATATTATTATTCAAAATCTAAATTACACAAAAGCTTTCTCATAAAATACATTTTTAAAATCATTTATTTTAGAACTTACAGTCCTATGGACTTTTCTAGTCATTTTCCTATTTGATCTTTTTGAATAATGTGAAAATAGAGACAATTCCAACAATCTTTTTAAATGTACCATCCTGACAACAAGTAACACCAATTATATTCCAAGAAGATTGGATAGAATTATTCCCCTGGCAACCACTGAACATCAACCTTTCCTGCAACATCAACTGTAGGCATTATCAGACTTCTGGGCATCTATCACGATGTTTGGTTAGAGACGGTGTACTTCACAAGGAGCTGATACGGATTGCTTTAGTGATACTTTTGCAAACTTAGTAGAAAATAAACCATGTGATTGTATGGTTTACAGGCAGTACTATGTAGGTCTGACTGAATTTGAAAGAGAACTACATCCATTAATCTTCAACTAGCCTGTTTCTTTCAAAACATTACACTCTTCCTTGACAGTTAGTAATTACTTAAAGGTGGTTAACACTTTTCAGATATTGATGTGGGTTTATTCGCAAATGCAGTATCCTCAAAGCTATTAGGATATGAAGAATAGATAGTCCTCAGCACCAGTCCAAAAACAACTTTAAATCAAAGAAAAAATCATTCTGTTCATCTGTCTGTGTAAGGAGAACATTCTGTCCTCAAATTTTCTGATAATCTCCTACCGCTGAGTTCACCTACACTAACCATGTGAAACTGAAACTCTCCACAAAGCATGTTTGTGCCCAGGTGTACTGAGGATTACAAATAAGAACATGAGCAGATGTGGCTTAGGAGAGTTTGGCATCCAAAGTAAACAATGTTGACTTACTTTATAACTCCACTTATAATTATTACTTTTTAACTTAGAGCCTCCAGAGTTTATATTAACAATGATAGCTACTATAGGACACAGGAAAAAAAAATTAAAATCTCAGTGCCAAACAAGACTAAAGTAGACTCACTTCAGCCTTTATACTTAGTGTCACTAGTTCAATTCAAACATAGTGCCTAAAATAATCATTTCCTCTATTATAGTTCAATTTTTTATTTTTTTATTTCCACCCAAAACCAAGCTTTATGATAGCAAAATTCAAAGGTATCTACTACAAAATATGAAGACACAAAAACAAAACAAAATACCCACACTTTGCAAGGATGCAACAACAGTAACACCAAAATATTTCTGTGGTCACATATAACAAATTGGAATAAATTGAAATAAAAAACCTTCAACTTGGATAGCAAAATTTTATGTCATGCAATTGCCTTTCCTCAGACCCTGATCAGCAACAGTACCAGAAAAGTTTCACACAACTCTTGGACATTGTGAGTGAACTCTTCACACTGAACAGTGAGTGATACAAGTAGATTTATATCCAATATTTTCAAAACTTCCCTACCACACATCAACAAAAGGACAACCCAAGCAAGAAATTTCCCATTAATAACAGAAAACTAAGAATATTTAGTGCTCGAAAATTTGGCAATTGTAGGAAATACTGCTTTCCAACTGCCAATCATTACCCAACCATGCACACAGCAAGCTTCCTCCTAACATGGCTGACCCAGAGTGGCATGTCAGGTCATGGAGGCAGTGAGTGTGCGCGCCGAGTGCAGTCTCCTACCTTCATACAGTGCCTTGAAGCCCTGGGCGCTCACTGCGAAGTCGGTGGTGAACCACAGAGTGAGGACAGACCCGGAGCTCACTATGGAGGAGGGCAGCTGAAATCCCGACAGCCTAAAGTCAAAAGAAGAGGAACATGGTGAAGCAGAGTTTGGCTGAAGGGAAGGAACATGGCACAGTGAAAAGGCACACATTTTCCTGAAAGTCGTACTTGATGAAGTCGTTTAAAGTCTTACCCATGTGGGATGCCACAAAACAGTCGGACAATCCACACATGTGACTTTGCTAGTGACTGAACTGAAGCATTACCAAGCACCAGAATTTGTTTACTTAAGTAACTTTTGAGGACACTTCTTGAAGGAATTATGCACCACTGTTCTACCCGCAGGATGGGAAGCTACCACAGGAAAGCACAACCCCCCTTATTCAAGCTCCCTGTGACTTTGCATGTGCTTTGAATTCTTTCTTTCTCTCCTAAATTATTACTCTGCTCAATAAATTTTTGGCTTCTCTTGAGAGAAAGATACATACAATTTTGCTCATGCTGAGGTCAAAGGTATCCATCTTAATGTTCATTTTACAAGAAAATATATTTTGGATTCTAAGTGGTTTTCATGATCACTACGCTTGGGTACATTTGAAAGTTTTAAGGATGACAAACCCAGAAATCTGTGTGAGAAGACTAGTATAGTAATATGCACAGTAATTTGAAAATTAACAGTTTTTCCAAAGGCCAAAGAGAGACTACATCAATTTATATTTTACCCAAAGTTTCCTAATTAAATAGGTTTGTGTGCAGATATGTGCTATAGGGTGGCCTGAGCACGAGCTATGATGCAAAGGCAGTGTGCCTGCCTGTGTCACCAGCAGCAGAACTGAGCCTGCCAGCACCCTGCAGTACTAAGTGCTCATTACAGCTCCTCTGGGTTGTGGGATCCATGCTCTGGAGCCAATCCTCATGATTGATTGTGCACAAATAAAACAATAATGGATTAATAAAATTACAGAGCAAGCTTAAAAGCAGATCGGGGTTAAGTCACAGAATAATTGCACAATTATGACGTTATTTATGATATGTTATTTTGTTGTTTACTATCATTTTGTGTCAATCACTTTAAGTTTTCTACATGGGTTTTATTTTTTTAAAAAATCAATACTTCTTTAGTTTTACATGACTGTAATATACTGCCACAATTTCTTATAAATCAATTTTAGTCATTTTCTTAATTGAAATACAAATAAAAGCCAAGTTATATATGTGTGTATATTAAAATTTATGAGAAAACACGAAAATGGTACGAAACCAAGTAGTTGACTAATTACATTTCACTCTTGAAATGTTTGTGCTGCAGCCAGACACCGGGCAGTGCTCTGGGGAAAGGAGGCCACCAGCACGGCGTAGAATAGTGAGGTTGGCCATCACCCCAGAGGCAAAGCAGTCACTCTGTGCTCGGGGAGGTGTCTCGAAGGAGAATTCTAAGTCTAAGCCATACCTTTGTAAATATAGACAGGATTATTCTATACTTTATATGGAAAGGCAGGAAAAAAAACAGAATAGCTCTACCAATTACGAAAACAAATAAATTAAGTAAAATAGAAGGACACCGTCTACCTAATTGCAGGATCTATATCAGTGACAATATTTGTTTTTGGTGCACTGGCAAAGGGATAAACCCATACAATATTTGTTATTATACAATAGATCAAAACCAAAAATCCAGGAAAAGACCTGTACAAATATGCCCAATTTGACAAAGGTATAAAAGCAACTTGGTAGAAGAGTTCGACAAATTAGGCTGGAACCACTGAATGGCCCTTGCAGTCTCCTGCAAAAAATGCCAGAGACCTTGGTCTAACACCTTTGTGACAATTAATTCAAGGTGGATCACAATCGTGAATGAAAATCTATGACTTTTAGAAAAATATAGGATAAAGTCTTCAGGGTCTAGTTCAGGGAAAGAGTTCTGAGACTTGACACCTGAATTAAAATCCAAATGAGTGAAAACAAACAATTTGGAAAGTATAAAAATTTAAACACTTTCTGGAAAAGACCCTGTTAAGAAGACGAAAGACTGAAAAAAACCACATCAGAAAATGGTCGGGCATCTAGAATATCTGTTAAACCTTCAAGACTTGTCTGTGGAAGAACAGTAGCAATTAGAAGTTGGGAAAAGCCATGGATAATGACATCACCCAGAGACATGAAGACGGCCAACATGTGAGAGGCTTCATCTCACCAGTTGTGAGGACAGAGAGAAATAGCACTATACTACTCTACGTGCCAGTGAAGGCTGGGTAGGATGAAGACACAATTGACCGCTGATATGGGGCTCCTAGGACCCACAGGTGGTGCAGACACCTTGGAGCGGTGCCTCTGATTGTCCTACAGGCTAAACACACAGGTGCCACCAACCAGTACCCAGGCACCACTCTCCTGGCATATACCCAGCAACCCTTCCTGGGCCAGGGAGTTCTGGTCCACACTGCATCCAGTCTGCATCCTGGGAATGTTATTTTACTACAGCTTCCTAAGGTATCTTTTCTGGGGTTAACGGTGAGGAGTATACAGAATTTCTCTGCAAAATTTATTATAAGCATATGTGAATCTATGATCATCTCACATTAAGCAGTTTAATTAAAAACACATTAGAACGTTAGAGTCTGAGAGACATTCAGGAAAACATTCATAAAAATGATAGTAACCAACTTAGTAGAAAACCAACAATTAGTATTTAAACACTTAAAAATGTCATTTATTTCCAAAATAATAACCAAAAACCATTGAGGGTTTTTTTTAATTTGGCAATTGACCATTCTGAAGTTTTAAATCTCTATTAGAATAAGTTAGATAAAAAATTACATGACAGCAGTGTAAAAAATACAATTTTGTGTTCTCTCTTTTTTTTTAAATATTTAGATTTAAGTGGATACAATATCTTTATTTTACATTTATGTGGTGCTGAGAATTGAACTCAGTGCCTCAAGCATGCTAGGTGAGCACTCTACCACTGAGCCACAACCCCAGCCCCTTGTGTTCTCTTTACTTAATGAGTTTAGAACAGGGATTACATTAAAGGACAGAGATTACAGACAGCCACAACCGAACTACATTATCTCAGGTAAAATCACCATGATGCTAAGGACTCTTAAAGGCAATGTCAGTGATGAGGTTAACAGGAGCTCAGCATGAACATGTGCAGGTAAAACATGCATGTGTAATCCATCTGCTGGAATGGAATGGACTCAATTGTACCTGAGGGCAAAAGAATGCAATCTAACATGAATTGAGCAGGTTGGAGAAAGATGGGTCTCCCGCTGACCATGTCATGCTCATTAAAGTACTATGCTAATGAGAGTTACCAAAACAAAAGAGAAGTCCATCAGCTGTCCTCTCTTAATTTTTCTTTATCAAATTGGTATCACCTACAACATGTAAAAATTTGACCCCTTTCTTCATATGCTGCGACTTTAAAAGTTAGAATGATAGAATTAAGGTGATGACATCCTAAAATTATTTGGGATGACCAGAGTGTACATGGAGTCACAAATGTCCACCTTTCTGTTGGTGGTCATTCCCTACCACCTGCCCAACAGACTCGCCTCCCCATACACATCCTGGCCCACTTAATCAGGGGCTGGCACTGAGAGTTAAGCTGTAAGGGGGTCTGAGTTTATGCTGTGGTCTCCACTGTGGAAAACCACACATTTCACTCACAGCATCAGGCTTCTGTCTGAGGCCCTAGCTAAAATGTTTGCAAGAGGAAGAAGAGAATCGTTAGGAAAAGGAATTTGGTTTCAGGACAGTGACAACAAATCAATTTCATTCCTAGTTAAAAAAAATAATAATGTATGGTTGGTGTCAGTCCAACCATGTCCCTCCTTTCTGTCTTTTCTACTTGCACCCCCTGTTCTGTTGTCCTGTAGAATCTCATTTACTCTATTTCCTCCTCCCGTCTACTTTCAGCAATGTGGGTAATTGACAGAGCACACCTGTCAAACGGGAGCGATTGCAGGGTAAAGCCGGGAAGGACTGCTTAGCATTCTGAATTCTAGGACCTACATGTTCACTCGGCAGAAGCACAAGGTTCACAACTGAAGTTTATTCTTCCATTTTTCAAGAAATTACTAGGATGAATTGCTCCTAGAAATAGATCCAAACTATTATGCAACGCATTATCATTTAAGATATTTAAATCACTAACGCCATTGCAATAATCTCAAATGTTAGAAGTGGTAATGCTAGAGAGAAAAAGGCAAATTCAGTGATAAACTCAGAGGAAGAGAAGACCAGAGTAGGCATTGTTTATTTTCCGTAAATTAATGAGGGAGTTATGAATTTGTTAAAGAGGTACACTTCAAAATTACACTTTGTATTTATTGCATAATCTACAGTGTTTGTGATTTGAAAATGTCAAATATATTTAAAACTACAGCTTAGTTAAAATGTCAAGTGCATATTTTAAGTAAATTGGGAAATACCACTAAGTTAAATCTTTTTTTCTGAAATAATAATTGCTTTAAAGAAAATTTCTGTAAAGCCAAATGTTGCCAAACTGACATTAATCCTCAATATTTGGTAATATCATACTTCAGGACATATGCCAACATGATTATACTCAAAATATAGCTTATGGAGACTTGGCCTAAGAAATTAATTTCCTCAAGAAGAGTTTTTCAGCAAGATAGTACCCACGACTTTCATGAAAGCTTTCAAGACTGAGAAATAAGGACTCCACCAGGCAGTTCCTCCCACTATTAACTGAGAGCTTCATTAGCTTTTGTGGAATCCTCTGCTGTCTACTGTGTTCATCTATTGGTCCCATTACATGTCATTTGGAAGAGTTCATGCCAAGGATAAAATATGAGACTTAATGTTTTTCAAAAAGCTGATTGTAGCTAATATTATTTTGACAATTATTATCCAAACAGCTTTGAGTCTGCAACTTACTATACGTTTTGTCTGAAGTACAATATTAGTTAATCCGGGTCTGTTTTTCATTCTTAAAATAATTAATTGAATGCCTACTAAAAGATATATGTGCAGTTAACACATTTGCTACATTCAAGAGACAATCTGAAATGAAAGATGGGAAAACAAATAAGACCTTTCTAGAAGGAGGTAAGTAAAATAATCCACATTGATGGCTTGGAGCAGCTATTCTACCTTCTCCACCCAGGTTTAGTTGGCCAAGACAGAACAGGGATACACAAAGCTATGCATAATCTTTGACCGTTCCAATAGAAT